TACGCCTGTCGCCCACCCGAGTTAGGCCCAAATGAATACATAGAAACTTGTATTAGGTTCAAAGTTGCTTGGCCAATGACTAGGATTCTCATCTGTTAGCTCAGTCTCAATTATCATAAATATATACATTTTATAAGACTTATCTTATCGGACGCCTTATTGGCGTCCCTCCTTGCAGGTGGCTCACATCCTGCCGCTGGAGGAGGCGAACCGGAAAAAGGGACACTTCCTGTTTCTCCTTCACTTAAATATGAGTCTCCTTGCTATGTCACTTCCTGCCTGGATCAGCACTTCTCTACTACATTTCCCAGGATCCTCTTTGACTTCTAGTCCTATCTAACTTCCTGTCTCATTGGCCAAACAGTATTTTATTTAACAATTAATAAGATAAACATACACAGTACATTCCCCATCAGTAAGGGTGGGAGAGTCTGCGCTCAGGACCCCGCTGGAGTGGTCTGATATGGTCTGACTCTCCTCCTGTCCACTCTCAGCAGGGAAGCATCCCTGACTAGACTCAGGTCCATGGTGAGTGACTGGGAATGTTATTCCCAGGTCTCATGTGTTTCAAACATTGCACTGTCCTCATCCTCAGATGGTAGACAGATGTCTAGTAGTTCTCCTTGGAAGGTTCAAGTCTGTCCCCAGCCATCAAAAACTCACTAATGAAAAAGACAACTTGCAGGTGGCCAGCCAGTCAGCTGTCCTAAAATAGTAATCTGAAGCAACAGCTCCTTTTCCTGGCAGAGGGTGCGCATATGTATACAGAGTTCAAAATAAGGGATAGAGGTCACATTGAAAGTACTTAGAAGGAACACCATAAAGGCTGGTAAGAGTAACAGCAGTATGTCATGATTTTTTTCCTCATAAGTGGTCACTGAATGTTAGAACCAAACTAAGATTCATGCTGTCTGCTATATGGTCATGTCAGCTGTCACTGGACATGGGCAAGCGTAGAAGAATACAGTCTTGGCTTCTAGTTATGCTAAGATAACACTTATTTGAGCAAATAATTATCTCTGCAGCCTTAACAAAACAAACAGCATAGCATCTATTAGTCATCCATCCGAAAGAAGGCTTACGTACATATTTAAACATGTCTGTTTTGTATTTAGTGCCTCATCCAGGGCAGAGCAAGGCATGCCTACTCACTCCTTAGGGGAAATGACTAGCTCTTCTTTTGGTAAATTGGGTTGTTCTCATTTACTGTTAGAATCTTTATATTGAGCTTTTAATTTATTTCCAACCAAAGGCAAGAATGGAGTTGGATATGCAGGGTTCATATTGTACCCAATGTGACTGAGGCTGTTCAAAAATGAATGAGAAGTCTCCTGGGTGTCCATGTGTCCCAGCTCCCAAGGAAAGAAAGAGAAGCAATGATGCCATCTGGAACATCTAGAGAGGCTAGCACAGAGCTCAGGACACACTGGGAAATCTTAAGAGAACAACCAGTAAGCCCATAGTGTTGGTGCTGGGTTCAGAATGAAGGCTTGTTGGTAGTATGGGCAGATACAATGCAGAGACAATACTGAGAGGAAAGCCATGTTCCTGTTGGTTATAAGACATCAAATCAAGGCCTTGTGTCTATGGCTGATGTGTATCCATCTCTTGGTTGCCCAATAGATAATGAAAGGATCAAGTGCTTCTGGGCGTTGGGCACAGAATGGCTAGTTCCCTTCATCAAGATGTAGCAAACCCAAGGTACAGCTGCATTTTAGTCTCCTCATAGGCAGGGCTAAAGGCAACCTCCAGTAAAAACTTAACTTTCTTCTGTTGCCCTGTCCTGTTCCCTCATTCCTCTTCTGTCTTAATTAGGGTTTCTATTGCTATGAAGAGACACCATGACCATGGCAGTTCTTATAAAGGGAAACATTTTATTGGAGCTGGCTTACAGTTTCAGAGGTTTAGTCCATTATCATCACGGTGGGACATGGCAACGTGCAGGCAGACGTGGTGCTGGAGAAGGAGCTGAGAGTTCTACATCTTGATCTTGCGCAAAGGAGACCTCAGAGCCCACCTCCACCATGACATGTTTCCTGCAACAAGGCCACACCTATTCCAGAAAAGCCATACCTCCTAAGAGTGCCACTCAATATGGGGAGCATTTTCTTTCAAACCAGCACACCATCTCAAGGGAGTATCTCCTCTATAAATGAGGTCCACAAGCACCTCCATTTTAGCTCCAGTTCCAGAAGCTGACCTCAGAGAAGGTGTCTGTTAGAAGACAAGATTCCCTGAGTCCACCTGCAAGAAGGATTCAACAGCCAGAGTTTTGAAAGCTGGGGTTTTATTATTTGAAGAAGGCAATTCTGGTGCCAATGAGTCAAGTGACACTCTTGGGCCACAGCCAGGGCCACCCTGATGAAGTGAGTCCACTGAGAGAGAGCATCCACCTGCCCAGCAGGGCTGCAGGTACTCAGGGTGGATGCTCTGACTTCAGTTCCAGATCTGAGTCCTTAGGTCCTAGTAAGTCCCTATGAATTTTTTGCAAGAATCCAGCACTAAAGGATAGAGACCAGATTCTCACCCTGGCAAGAGAGATGCTTAATATTTATTAACATTATTTATTAGTCTCCTGCCAGACCATCATACCTACCCACCAGTAAAATGCTTCCAATGAAGCCCACTGTGTAGCGTCATAGAATGTTGCTGAGTGAGAAACAGAAGGGATCAAGAAAACAGGATTGTAACAATAACTCTTTCTGCCAGCTGCCTGGGTTTTGCCGCCACTTTAGGGCCCCCAAATAACACACAGAGTCTTATATTAGTTACAATGCTGCTGGCTAATGACTAGGATTTCTTATTTGCTAGCTCAGTCTTAATTATCAACCATAACTACTAATCTATATATTTTTATAAGGACTTATCTTAACCAAGGATGTGTCCTTATGTGTCCTTATATGTCCTCTCTTCCTGGGATCACATGGCAACTCTCTCCCTTTTCTACATTTCCCAGAATCTTCCCTCTTTCCTCGTCCCACCTAACTTGCTTCCCTATTGGCCAACTGTGCTTTATTTATCAGCCAATAAGACAAACATATACACAGAAGGACCTCTCTCATCACAGGATGCTATCCAAGAGAAACCTTTTCACAAAAGCGAAAGCTTTGCTGTGTAACAGGTACTATTTTTTACACAATTACTACAATATTGATTGCACACTCAGCGATGTGCTTAGGACAACTCAAACTTGATAACAACTCCAGAAGAATCTTGTTGCAAACATTTACCATTCAGACCTTCTCCACAATCATTTGATTGAACTTTATAGGATGCCATCCAATTTATTGAGGGTTGATTCGAATGATTATAGAGCTGCTGTTGCCCTTCAAGTGTTCTTGACTGAGGTCCACAGACAGATACCATAGTACAATGTCAGCTCCACATATAGAGCAAAAAACAAACAGGGATGTGGGATTGGAAGAAAGGGGAGGACCTTAGACAGAAAGGAATCCCAGACAGCCAGGATGAAAGCTATAGAGAACAGCATGGCAGCTGAATTTTATAGTAAATTCCAGAGTTACAATCACAGGTGCTGGAGGGAGGGAGGGCTCAGTGGGTACCAGCACTCACTGCTGTTCAAAAGACCATTTGGTCCCCAGTACCCACATCAGGTGGCTCACAACGGCCTGTAACTCCAGCTCAAAGGGAACCCAGTGCCCTCTTCTGGCTCCTGTAGGCACCTGCACTCATGTGCACAAACCAGTGCATAGACACACCCAAATACACACAATTTAAAAGGAAAATAAAATTTGTAGTGTATAAAGTTACATTCATAACCACTTCTTCAAGTGGGCTTTTAAGAGAGCTGGCTGGGGCTGGCTTCTCTGAACAGGCCATTTGTGTTCAGGGATGGAGTCCTGACTCTCCCCTCAGTAAGAGATTAAAGGAATAGATAAAGGAATATATAAGATCTTTCCAGCTATACCCCAATTTGCTTCTTTACTCACTGTGTAGAATTTTTAAAATTTCCATCTTCTCTTTTTGTTTTCAAATTTCCATTTTTATTTTTTTCCCAAAATCTTTCTGTCTGATCATTTTTGTAGCCTTGATTATTTCTGTGATTTCCTTTCTAGCTCTTAAATTTCTATTTTTATTTTTAATTGTGAGTATGCATGTGTATCTGTGTGCAGATATGCACTTGAGTCCAGGTGACCACAGAGACCAGAAAGGATCCCCTGAACTGGAATTATAGGTAGCTGTGAGTCTCCCAATGTGGGTATAGTAGGTGCCCTTAACCCCTGGGCCTCTCCTGAGCCCCTCAGCATTTTACCTTCTATCTCCACTCACACAGAAGAGGCTTAACTTTGCTGCTCACTGTGTCTGCCCAACTCATTCATGGTGGCTGGCTTGCTGGTGTTTTCCACACTCTGAGGTTTGGCACTCATTTCGTTGATCTCACTTCCTGGGAATCCTGAGGGCCTAAGGCCTTTATCCAGGGAGGACTGGGGTGCTTCTGCTGAGGGAGGGGCACTATCCCTGTGTAATGAAAGAATCCACAGCAATCCCCATTTCCTCCTTTTCCTATGCCCTCTGAGACTACTCAGCCCATGGTAGGAGGGCAGCTTTAGCTTGAGACAAATCCTCATTCCCATTCTTCATCCTCCGTGTTTCTATTCAGGTCCATCTCTTTTTCTGCCTGGCACTGATTCTATCACTTGAACACATTTTGCCTATGGACACTTGCAGATATCCTTCCCCTTACATTTAGTCATGGGATGATTCTCTGTATGTCATAGGGGAGGGAAGAAACTTGTCCCCACACTCCTTGTGAAGCAAGCACAGGCTTTTGTATATAGGAAGGATCCATAATGTAACGAATGATTTCTTAAGTTAATATTTAAAAATGGACCCAGGCAAATTAGCATACCTCATGCCCATTTTCCTCTCCAATGCCCTGTCTTCTGTGGCTCCTCCTCTCCTAATTATCTGACCTTGTAATTATTCGAAGAGCTTCCTCCCTTCACTCACGAGTGATTAATTCATTGTTGGTGGTTCAGCTTCGCCCACCACCACTACCTCCCAGCCTGTTGCCAACCGTGGCTTTCAGTGGCTGGGCCCACGTCCCGGAGGCCTGTTTGTTTGTCCTAGTGTTCGTTACTGTTTGGCTCTCTTCCACCTGCTGCCAGTGCCAAACTATTTATATCAACACGGAGAAGCCTTGGTGAGCTTTGCTGTGAAAACTCAGCCACCTCACAATGCCTTTTCATCACAAAAGACTTTGCCAGAGCTATCCTCCGAGAACACCACTCCCGGCACTGATCCAGGGGCACTCCTGGTTTCCCCCAAGGAAATGGCAGCTCTTGGACCATCAGCTTGGACAACAAGGTCTTTGCCTCAGATGAAGAACTCTGGCCACGAGGCGTGCTGTGGAACTTGCCCCAAAGGGTCATGACAGCTGAGTCACAGAGAATGGCATTGAAACTGGCATTCCGAGGGAAGGAGAATGCCCACTGGGAGCAGAGCCAAGGTGCTGAGTCATGCTCCTGGGCGCTGTATTACTTGCTTGTGTCAAAGCTTCTAGAAAAAGGGGATGCTGCCCTTCCTTGACATTATATCAGAAACACATGTACAAACTTTACACAGCACCCCAGAAATATATACAAATTTGATATGTTAATTTTTTAAATATTTTGTGTGTGTGTGTGTGTGTGTGTGTGTGTGTGTGTGTGTGTGTGTGTAGGTCAGAGGTCAACTTGTGGGAAGTTTTTTTTCTCTCTTTCCACCCAGGGGATTCCGGATGAGGATTCTGGGATTTGAATTCAGGTCATCAGTCTTGGTAGCATTTTTACCCACTAAGCTGTCTTGCTAGTTCAAGTAACAGTTGTTTACAACAAAATTAATTGATTAAAAGAGGCATTTCTTATCCAAATTTATTTTTTATGGTAATCATCTTTTGATTTAAATAAAAAGAAATAGTAAAACACTGGTTAGAGTCACCCATATTGCTACTGCCAAGGCCTGGGTCAACATGGTGACCTCTAGAGACCCTAATTCAAACCATGTAATAAATTACCACCAACATTCCATCCTCAGACACAGGCTAGAGCTCAGTCCCATTCTAATAATCTTAACTATAGGATTCCACAGTCACAGGTCTGAAGAAATCAGGCAGAGGGAGGGGAACCAATCATTTTCAAATGAACGGAACTAATTTATCTTCTTGTTAGCATTTGAAGCAGGTGATATAAGTAATATGCCTGGGAGAAGGGCCAAAGAGAAATTTCAAGACCTAGCACAATTTCATACTAAAAATAAAATTGCCAATCAAATGTATTTATAAACCAGTTGTCCCACCAACTGGCCAGTGTGGGACCTACTCCCAGGAAAGCTGCCTCATCTCTAGCCTCAGGGGAATATTAACACTGTACCACTAGGTCAGGGTTGAAACTCGGTGAACAGTAAGTCTCAAACACTGGCCTAGAAACAGCCACCGGAGCAGCTCACAGATTGTGGATTGGTAGAATATGGATGGCTGTTTGCATCCCTGTGGAGGTTACTTCCACCATGAAAATAGCATAGGAGCAAACATGCTCCTGACTCCTTTTCTTTTTCTCTGTATCATTGGCTATGGTGTTTTGTCCCTAGCTAAGTCTCCTTATGCTCTGAAAGGTTGGTTCATCTCTCTACTGGTCACCCAGATCAATATGGCACTGTGGACTTTCAGCTTGAAAGAACAGATGTCAGTTGTCCTCGTTTCTAAAGACAGACAGATAGGGAGTTGCAGGGCCCGAAGGAGCCCACACAGTGCTTGATGGCCAGCTTCCCCAGGGATAAAGTAGCCAACAGTATCTACAGCTGCTTTTGTTCATTGTAAACCTTTTAAGGATTTTTCCATTTGGTTTTTCTCATGGAATACCAATGGCCAATGTCAACAGCATTGTACTGGGTGAGGGTAGCTACAATGTCTGGAGCCAATGGTCTCTTTACCAGGCCAGTCCTGTAAGTGACTATGGGCTATCTTTCCTATTTTTGAGGCCCCTGTTCACACCTGATTCCTCAGCCCTCTTTATCTTTCCTGCACCTGTCAATAAATGTAACCAGGGGCTGCTGACTTGTACTAGTTTCAACACACACACACACACACACACACACACACACACACACACACTTATAGACTAAATGTTCTTTTTGTAATCCCATTTTGTCTTGAGGTAACCAGAATTTCCTGTGATGTTTATAGTAAAGAGCTCTTAGCCAGTTTGCTTTGAGGAGAGGGCTGAGGGTGTTAGTGGGGGTAACTTAGACTGGCCAACTCCTATAAATGGACTAATTTCTAAAATATATAAGCAGGCAGGGGTATAGTTCAATGACAATTTGCCCAACACGTGAAAGGCTCTGAGTTCAATTTCCAACACCAAAATAAATGAATTGATTAAAATAAAATAAAATAGAGAAGATTTGGGAGAAATCATTGGTCCCGCTGCCACCAGAAGCAGTAGGAAAATCACTGCTGTTCTGGCCTCAGGTGGCTAAATAACTGTCAGTTACTGTCCGAACCATCAGCTCTCCCCAGGATGGCTACCCTCTTCTGTTAGATTTTTCTGTTAGGCTTGCCCCATGCTGCTGATTTTATGCCAGTTTGTTCACTCAAAACTAAGACAAACAAAACAAAACAAAACAAAAAACCCTAAATAGAGTATAAACAGATGCTATTAACACAAAAGTGTTCACATTGATAACAAAACAAACCATTCGAAGGAGCTAAAACTACTTGATAACCAGAAGCAAACAGAATAAATCCTATTCCATTAATGAACTTTAAGTGTGAATCCACAAAGTTGATGAGGCTGTGGGAAGACAAAATGAGCAGGATCCACAGCTATAGAAACCCAGAGGAATCTCCACAAAATGTACACAGTGGCATATGGCACCTTTGTTTTTAAGATGGAAAAAGCTGGAAACTTCTCAGTATCCACCATTAGCAGACTAGATGCATAAACAGTACATGTATGTAAGCAAGTACCACACAGCAGTGAAAAGGGAATTTCATGGTGTCCAGAGATGAACAGTAGTTCAAATTCCTGCTAAGCAAGTGCTGGAACTGGAATTTGGATCCCCAGACCCCACATGAATGCTGGGTAGGTATGTCAGCATACCTGTAATTCTAACCTCATAAAAAGGCTAAAGGAACATCAAAGAAGGGGAAGTGAAAAGATTGTTAATGTCACGAACCAGGAAATCAGATTCTAGGTTGTGTATTTTGGATAAGACAGGGCAGCTACAGCCATGAAAACTCAACAACATGGATACCTAAAGACAGTCTGAACAAGGGCAACACCAGCTGACATCCCAGTGAAGATGAAAGAGCCTCACCCCTACATGAAGAGCTACAGCTCTTCTGAGAGAAGGAGAATTAGTCATCCTCCAGGGATAAGGCCCCTAACTGGTTATCCAACACTAAGTGGTCAGATATAAAATCATATGCATACAAGAAGCATGAAATGGGCTCAGCAGGTTGTATTTGAAATGTAGTGGGTGGGGGAATGGATAGAAGGGCTTAGATGAAGGAGAAGAGGAAATAATGTAATTACACTTTAACTAAAAATAAGATAATTCTTCAAAAATCCTCTATGTTCTAAAAACCAGTTTTTATAGCCAGAATTACATGTTTTTAAAAAAAGGTGCAGTGGGGGAGGGGGAGCTAAGATTCCCAGAATGAAGGGAATGAGCATGTTTTACCGTGTTGTCAATGTTTTATTTAATGAGCCAGACTGTGGGGGCATTTCATAGACCTACAATATTCCATAGTAAAGAAATGGATGAAACAAAGGGATTAGGAAAGAGGGGTCAGCTAGAGAGGCTTTCCCAGTTCTCTAGGAGTGGTGCACTGCTTTCCCAAATGGCCTTGAGGTTAGCATGAGCACAGATCTGACCATTGTTTCCATTCATACTGCTCTGTTTCCCAATTCATGAAATCTGAGTCTGTTGACATTAAGGATTTGCCTTCCACCTTTTATATTATGTGATCATGGAGACAAATGAAAGCCATTGTCAATCATGTTTGCTCATTACATTTCCTGCTTCCTGTTATGGGTGGAACTTATTTAGGGAAAAAAAAAAAGGGCAATTGGGTTCTGTCTGTGCTTTCTTCTGACGTTGTGCTCATCACCATTGGTTTTAATGGTCAGCTTGACACAACCTTGAATTACCTGGGTTTTAGTGAGGCCCAGGTTGATCTATAGGCTTGTTACCAGAGAGTGGAAGGGAGGGAGTATCTCAATCATGGCAACTAAGGTGGAAAATCAACTCACCCTGAGCTCAGCATTCCTTAGGCAGGGAATCCTGAACTGTGTGAATAGAAAAATTGAGCCAAGCAACAGGAAAGGGAATTAAGAGGTACTCTTCCCCTCAAAGCCCAAAATATTTGAATAAAAGGTATGTGTAGCTATTGTAGCTACATGATGTAAGTGTCCATGCTTATGTACAGGGCCAAGGTCATTTGATATGGCTGACGGTTGGAGCAGCCACAGCACAACTGGAGCTATGACCATTTTTATTGAGAGCAATCAGACTTTTTATATTTTTATCAGAAACAGAATATAATGGCAATTGCTGGGATCAATACAGTTGTAGTTTCCAGGAAAGAGTGAAGCTTGCCAGTTATATTATAGAGTTCACAAGTGTCTAAGACCAATTGTCCTGTCAAATTTCCATGTTTCCTTGACTGCTAAGGGGTCATACAGAGAAATACAAAGCGTCCTGAACACTTCACCACTTGAGGGAGTGCATCAGTCTCTTGGGAACTGGAAAACACATTGAGTCCTCGGAGCCATGGACTTTAACCTGAAAAGCATATGATTAACTCTCAAGGCAGCTAGGGCAAGCTAACTCCGTGGTTCCCTGAAATGGGAAAATTAGTTCTGTTTCCTCCATAGCATAACAATGGTTGTTGACCTCTCACCTCATGAAGAACTGTGCACACATGGTGGGCAGCTGTGTTGCAAGCACATCACTAGAATATAGCTAGAGACAACAGTAATAAATTAATATATTTCTCAATATCCCAAGACTATCAACTCAGCCATTACACTGCTAGGACATTAGCCAAAGTTAATCATCAAATGTTTTCAAATGTTTATGTTCCCCCCAACTGTAAAATAAAGGAACAGTTAACAAAAACCATAGAAATTCCACGTGGCATTGTAAGGTCATTGAATGGGGCATGCATGGGCATTGACAGTCTAGAGATTGCTCTGTTAGCTCTGTGGAAGCATTTCAACTGGAACAAACAGGATATGAAAGTGTAACCTACACTTAGCAGCCTTGTGCTCTAAATGTCACCATTGTCTCCCAGTCTACACAGATACATAAAAGAAAAAGAACAGCCAAGGATCCAAACAGAAGTCACCAATGGGTAAAGGGGTCACAAGATGAAAAAAAATCACACTTGAAGTTTTTTCTGGAAATTTTTTGAGGGGAAGTTGTTTGTTTTTAAGACAGCATCTTCTCTTTTTAATTTTAAGGAATTTATTGTGTGTGTGGTGTGTGTCATGGTACCAGTGTGGTCTACTATGTGGAATGGTCCTGTCCTCCCACCTTTATATGGG